TAATTCAAATGAAATTTATTAAAAAAAAATTGTTTTGGTGATAACATCTGAAATTGGTTTTTCTGTCAACTTTGTTTCTCATGATAAAAATCTATATAAAAAATATTTTCTAAAAAGAAAAATGTATTTTTCAATTCTCCAACATATATAGATTTAAAACATGAAAAAAAAAAAAAAAATTACACAATTTTTGAAGTGATTTCGGTCCACAAATTCAGCAGTCAGAGGGTTAAAAAAACCACCAGGAACAAATATGAGAGTGCATTAGTTTATAAATAATCTTCATATTATCTCAATGACTATTATAGCAATAATAAGAAATTAAGTTTTTTGCCATTTTGTTTGTTAGTCTGGAAGTTAATGCCAAGAGATAACTTGAAATTATTTAAATTGTTACACATGTAATATGTTTTAAGTTAAATTACTAACTGGGGAAAATGTTAGTCCTTGCACGATTCCCATTTTAAAATACAATTATATTTCAAAAATGAAGTTATTATTTTCTGAAAGAGAGTGTCATATTTAAGGAACCAAAGAATAACATGCTACTTATGAACTGAAATTAAGTGGCTGGAAAGACACAATTTGGCCATGCCTGGCATTTAACATCAAGAGCAAAGAAGTACTACTTTCAACTGCAAATCACACTTTCACCATAACATTAACTTTTCATTTTGTGTTAAAAAGGTGAAATACAATAAGAATTTGTTGAGTAATTTTTTACAATACTTTACTTAAAATAACAATTTCTATTCTAATTAGCTTTCTGAAGGAAAGCTAACTTTTAGCCAAGAAGCTAGGTGATTTTAATTAAGGAAAAAAAATTGAAGGTCATCTATTGTATGGAAATATCTTCAAGGAGGACATTTTAGATAAAACTGGCTATATGTTATACATAGGAAAACTTATGCAGCAAACCTGTTCACTGAGATAAGAACCTGGAGAGAATTCCAAGCATTCAATAGCATTAGCCATTGACCAAAGATGGGAAAAGCAAAGAACAATTAAAAGTCAACTCGTATCTTCAGAAATATGCCAATTATGTGTAGATTAGTTTAGCTACCTGATATAAGTTATATATAGCTTTATTAAATAAAATCTGACTAAGGTTAGTTTACCAGCATCACAGCAGTCTTATTTTATTTAATGGCTCTTACTGAGAAAAATTCTAATGTTGTAACTTCCAAGAAAGCCGCATATATGAACAGATACTGAAAATAAATTTTAAATTAACCACTCTTAAGTGCATTCATATGATCTGCAAAAATAAATGCCACAAAATTAGTTTGTAGTAAGCATTACTATGCACTACACAAGAATTATAAATTGCAGCAAATTTACAAATTAATTACATATAGGAATATGTATCCTCACAACTATCAAGGGTTAAGTTATTCAACAGAATAAATTCCTTGCCACATAAAGTAAATATTTTTTAGTATCTTTTAATATTGCTGTGGATTTTATAATTTTGTACTTCTGTACTTGAATGATTTTTACACAAATACAAGTTGTGAAAGAGAAAATCACCTCTCTTTCTTGCTTAAAACTTTTGCTCTAATAAACATTAAGTGTTACTTTTGTAATAAGCAACAAAACATATGATTAATCTTTACTCTAGGATTAACAGTTTTATAATAGCATAATATTTAATGAAATATTCTTTTATATTTTAAAATTCAAATATATATATAATTATAGCAGAACTTTAAACACATACTGATAAAATCCTCCAGAGGAATCCAATACATCATATACTAGACTTGCTTTTTCATTACTATGAGCATCCATAGCACTAACACCACCATTAGCTAACACCCATTTGAAAACAAGTCCCAGAACATAGACACTGAAAAGATTAAAATATCAAAATTATGCTGTTGAAACTGAAATCTCACAAATTATTTAATCCATGTTTAAGCAATTTTAAAATTATCCTATTATTTAATTAAAAGTACAACTTGAACACAAAAAAATTAAGAATAAAAATATATTTCCATAACTATGTTGATGGATTAGGATAATAATTCATAACACTGTAGAGAATAAGTATACTGGCATAACTGATTCAGTGCATTTTCTGAGAAAAATATTCTTTAAACAAAGAGTGCCTTTCGCAGATTAAGCGTTTTAAAAGCACATTTGATATGTTTGGTAAAATATTAAACTTTCACTGCACCGAAAATTAATACATTTTAGGGACTTTAGCAGTGAGACTTCTTCTTCTGTAAGTTAAAATACAAATCTGAGATACATAACAGTATCCACCTTTTCCAAACTTCCCCCAAAAAGATTCCATTAAACAGTAATTACAGTTAATTTAATGTTTGTCTTCTTACATTAAACATGCACTCATCAGCATTAACCTTTGCTTACAATCATACATTTTTAGTGAATATGGAGATTTTCATTCAAACCAAAGAAAAGGATTATTAGATGAATGCATTAATTTGGAGAATGTTCAGCAAATTTTCAACCAGCTGAAAGTAGATAACGACTTACAAATATAACTATCAACACCATCCAATTAATCATTCAAAATAAAATAAGCGTTATTGTTTCTCAAAACATTTCATATGATTAACAGCAGCATTCAGTTAATCACAGAAAATAAAATGATGATTATTATTTCTCAAAATGTTTTTAGCCACAAGGGATGATGTATAAGGACTGCTATTCTTAATTCAAAATTCACATTTACAATATTATAGCTTTTTATAGGATTATGAATAAGTCACAAAAGTTTCCTGCTTTGATAGCCTTAACAGAGCATGTAAATTTATATAAAGCAATCTGTTTTTGCAGTATAAACATTGACATATAATATTCATGAATTCGTAAAACTATTTTATAAAATTTGATTCTACTTATTAGAAGAATCAGTTTTAACCACGTTAAACTAAAATACATATATATATTATGATTTAAGTTTTAATATATTAATCATGAAAATGAAAAAATAAAATTAATATTTTCTAAAATTCTTTTAATTTAAGCAGTTTAAATGGCAATAAAATTGAGATAATACGATTCTAACGAATAATAATACGATTCTAACGAAATATCAAGGGATAGAAAATTAAATTATTTACACAACTAGTTTATATTTTATAAAATTTTAGCATAAAAGAAGTTAATTACAGAAGATATATCTGCCTTGACTATTTTTAAAGGCAAAAATTCAGTTTGCAACTGACACACTGAAATATTTGCAGCTTTTACAATTATTGACTATAATGCAAACTTTTAACAAAAATTACAGGGAAATTAAATTTCATTCGCTACTTATATACATATATATATATACCTGAAAGTTGGTGGTGTATTGTACAAAGACTTATGGTCTGCATTGATTTTATAATCAAATACAGTGGGACAAATTGGTAAGGCATTTCCAATCAGATCATCCCGAACTATGACAAATGTAACGCCTGCTATTCCAGCATTTTTCTGGGCCCCAGCAAATATGACACCAAACTGAAATATAAAGAAAAAATTTTAAATATGGCTTACATCGAAAAAAAATAGTTCAAGTTATGTGTCTGGAACAGATTTAACCCCAAACTACTAGCTCCCAAGAATAAAGCCTAAAGCATTGACCCTATTTCTTTCAGCCATGATATATGCTGAGCATTGTGAAAAGGTTACATATTAAGCAGGGCTAAAGAAATCTTGTATATCATGGCTAGAACACAGTCCTCATGTTTCACATATTATTAGGAAAAAAGCATATAGCAATGCAGTAAACTTTTGTTAACACAAATATCAAGACACACACACACATACACACAAATAGGAAGACCTTGTGTTAAAAAAAAATTGTTAACTAGGGACTAATTTAATTTTTGGAATAGTTTTTTTCTCCGCATTTTATAAGATCATATACATCATTGCCAGGACTGAAATTTCGTTCATGTTAACCGAGTGTTCGCCTTAAGCGAGTTTACTGTATAAGCAAGTTATAATATTAAAGTACTTGCAAATTTCTGGCAGTTTGGTGATTCTTTGCAATGCCTACATATTTTTCTGATTTATTTAAAAAACTAGTTGGTACATGTTATGAAATTAGATGACAAAAGTCTTTTAGATGATAATTACATCATTCTAAATATACAAATTAATAAAAATGAGGTACCTCATTCACAGATTTATGTTATAGGATTGGAAATCATTTTCATGTTATGAACATACCTATTTTGAATTAATTCCTAAATTATGACAGATTTAGGAATTAGTTCATAATAGGTATGTTTATAACAGATAATAAGCTACATCAAGAGGAATTATAAATTCTTGAATAATATCATATCAAACATAGAGTCATGAATAACCTGCGAGATTTTTCTTTCCCATATCCACACAGAAAATTGTATAACATAATTTGAATGGTGGGGTTGAGGCAATTTATTTTATTTTCAACAGCTTATTACAGAAACTCTTAAGAATGCAGCATCAGACTGACAATATGATTCATGATTTCAGAACAGTTTTTAAAGATATTCCAGCCAATTGCAATATAGAAGACAGGAAAAAGCAAACCATCTGTCAAAAAAAGAACAATTATATTGCAAAACCATGATATTCTATTCATCTAAAACGTACTTTTATTGTGAGAAAGACGCCTCAAGCAAAGATTTTGACAAATCCTAAAAAGCGATATTTTAACAGCATATGATAACTTTCCAGTCATGGGTTACTATGCAGTTCTCAATCCTTATCATGTGCCCTATCTTCCCTAAAGGTTTGTTGCTATAATTTTGAAACACCCTGTATAAAACTACACCAGAATGTAATTTTTTAGTTCCAAGAAAGTGATGATGATTGAGATCTTTCATAATGGGCGATCAGGATTCATGTCTCATGGTAAGAGGTATTCCCTCGAAACGTCACAATACAAAGGAATGTAAAATTTAAAAATAATAAAATAAGCTGGAAAAAATAATATTCTGCTTCAGATAACAGACACAGCTTTGGAAAGGAGAAAAGCAGAAGTCAGCTTTTATTTTTATCTTAGGAACATAAGGTCTCTTAAGTAGTAAAAGCGTAAAATAATAAAAAAAGTTAATAAAATGAAATAGTTTTTACTTTGTTTTTCTTTAGAAAGTCGAGAAATTAAAAAGCATATTACATCAAATGAAGTGAAAAATATTATGCCAACTGTTATTGACACTCAGATATTCTGCATGGAAATGCATATATGTAGCATCAGTTTTAAACTTTGTCACACATATGTGAAACCTGCCTTTTTAAGTGAGTTCACATCTGCTGGATAGTCAGCTTCATATATGCAGCAGCCTTCAATAAAAGGGTTAAATAATAGACACTACAGGAAAACTCTGAATATTGGTAAATATTGCTGACAAGTCTATCTGTTAAATTTATCCTCACAGAAGTTTTTGATACTATCTTATGCAACAGTGTACAATAAATGATGATTTGGCATATGAAGCAGTACTCTATAAAAATTGTATGGATAACATGCAAAAATATAGAAAAAAGGTGATGACTAATAATCATAATGCTAATGACTAATAAACGTAATGCTTGGCATATAATAAATATAAGAAAATTTTTAATTTAAAATATTAATATAGCACACAAATTGCAGTATCAAGTATATATAATACACTGAGATAATTTTCTTAATTGCAACAGATTTTCTCCACAAAAAATTTTAAATTATGCAAATATATAAATGTGTATGAATATGTAAGGAGAAAATATAGGGAAAATGTATCTTATCAGTTAACATAAAAGCATCCAATTATATACAAAAGATAATATAGAAAGGAATATTTTAAAGTTGGAAATAAAAGTAAACAATCTATATTCAGAATATTTTTATCATCTATGGGGGGTTGCATGAATATTTACAGAAGATTTAGGATTCCCACGGGAAACATGATTAAATGATTTTCTAAAGTTACTAACTTAGTAATTGTTATTAAAACACTTATTGGAAAATATCACATTTTATAAAATACACAAAAAACATGTTATGTGGCACTATGGTGCTTAAGTTATAAATGGTACTTAAGTTAGATTTTAACATCAATTTCTGAGTACATATGCAAAAATGCAAAACGAAAAATTCCTCAAATGAAAATAGTTCAATCAATATCCTGTCCATAGCTTAAAAATATTAAATGCTAATCAGTAATGCAGGCTCATTCAGTAATTTGTCACTGCAATTCTTCCATTAGTAACACATTAAAACCATACGGCTAAGATAATGAGGCAGTTTTATTAAGGAAAGAGTCATAAAATTTTAAGCCTTTTTAATTCTTTTTTAAGGTGAGAGGAAAACAGATATTGTAACTTTTATTACTTTATTAACTACAGATGTCAGCTCATAAGTTTACATGAAATACAAATTTAACTATATACCTTTGATATATCAATAGGTCTAGTCAAAATATTTGATGACATATCACACACTAAAGGCACACCATTGGTTTCAGGTACAAAGTCAAATTCAACACCTGGAAAGAAACAATTTTAAAATATAATGTATAAAATTGTTACTTGACAATTAGAAAATAAAAGATTACATATGTAAGTTTGTGTATGTATATATACTGTTGAATATATGAAGAATTTGCCATTTTAGTGCATTTATTGTGAATATTAGGCAACTTCCATAAAATAATTTTACATATTTAGAAAACAATAATAAATTAACACAAATAAAATCAGTTATAAGAAAAAAATATTGCAGCAATGTAATGATATTTTACCCCCAGCAAAAAAAAAAAAAAAAAAAAAAAAAAAAAAAAAAAAAAAAACTTGCTTTAAGTTTTTACATTCTAGGAATTCTTGTCATAGAAGTATCAACACGCATAAAATATGTCAAATGATGTATTAAAAGGTTCATAGCTTGTTAATGATTTCCTAATTTAACTTTTCATTAGGAAAAAAAAAAAGACATTTTAAAATTTAATCCTTGGAAAAACTATTAATAACAGTCTGAAAATAAGTAAAAGCTAACCATGAATAGTCTCATTTGCACAGTAGTAGACATATCGAGCATTACTGCTTAATTTCCATTCAGATCGATCAGGTATACCTATATAAAATAAAAACAGTACCATGAAATAAATATTTATGCATAAAACACATATACAAAATCCTTGCATTATAAGGAAACTCGATAAAATAAACATTTAAAACTGCAATTTAGTTGACTGTTAAACTGACTGTTAAACTTTCCGAATTAGACAAACTGTGGACAAATAAAAAAAAAAAATTGAAGCTTTATACTTGAATGTGTATATATAATACTAAAATAAAACTAGCATAAATTTGCTTAAAATAATTATTACTCCACGTAACTTTACTCATTATCTATCTGAAAATAATAGGATTCCTAAAAAGAAAGGTTGATATTATAAGTCAATTTCAAATCTTACTTATTTTAATATGAATTAATAATGTAATTCCTGTAAGTTAAAATTTTAGAATTCACAGTTCATGTGTGCATAAAAACAGCACATGCACATGTGTGCATGTGCCGTTAAAAGAAAAAAAAAAAGAGCATTAATTTACACCTCTACAAAAGGAACTCGCATATTATGATCATTTTTGCACTGTGAACCTTTGGAATAAAATTTAACCTCGTTCTGGCCATTTTGGTACTTGATTTTTGGTGATGATTTGTAGACTAAAAAATCCCACCCCAATTGAATATGTAAAATAGCAGCTAAATTTTATCAAACTTAAGCTTCATAATTTTTTTAAGAATTTCAATTAATTACACACAGTAATTTTCACAAGCATATTATCAATTCATACACTAAAACTCATGAATTTAAATTATACTGTACCTGTATATACATCTGTTTTGGGCAAAACTCGGTTTACTTTGCAATATTTTTCAGCTTCTTTTGCAGCTTTAGAGGACCATGCACCAGTAACTATATAATCAGCTACATCATCAGAATTGGAAATAAGATTTAAAGGTACTGCACTGAACTGACCAGTCCCTCCACCTTGCAAAAAGAGTACTTTGTAATTCGATGGTATATCTCTGAAAGATATGAGAGGAGCCAAAGTTAATCTCAAAGTAAATAAAAGTATCTACACATAATTATTAAATATTTCAAGCAAGATTAATAATTTTTTTCTAACTTTATGCTGCATACTCAAGAAATAAATATTATCAAGATATATGAATAATAAAAAGCAAATGTTATGTAGCGAATTTAAATTATTAATATGTGTTTTAAATTATTATTATTCTAATATTTTTATTTGTATTCATGGTAGTTTAATCTGGAAAAAAAGTATTCTTAAGCTCTTAAGGTTTTATTTAACTCATTATTCTTGAGTGGGAATTGTAACAAAGGCGAGAGACTGTTGCGAGGACACACATCTGGTTTATGGCCTTTCCAACAATGAAGGTAGTAGGGTATGTATTGTTGTCTTTTAGCTAATGCGTGTGAAACGGAAATCATTTTTCCTGTCGCTTTGGCAGTTTTCTTGTTTAAATCGCGTAAGATGGCATGCAGAAATTCTAAAATTAAAAATATGAACTGAAAAGATATTAACTGAATTAGATATTAACTGAATAGATATTAACTGAAATAGATAATTAGATCATTTTAGCTTACACCGTCCGTTATACATAAAACGCGCACGCGAAAACGTATTCTGCGCTTGCGCACACGCAAATGCACAGTCGTAAGAGGTCTTACGTGCACACGTAAACGCCTGTGCGCATGTGTCAACGAGGTGCATGCGCAGAACGTTTTTAGCTTTGAGGTCCGGATTATAGATCATTCCGAATTATGTGTGTCCGAATTAACGACTTTTGACTGTAATTGGATACTCGTAAAAGCTAGTTTCGCTTGTTAGTTGGGGGGTCTATTTTTTTTTTTTTTTCTCACGTTATGTGAGTGCAGATGTTTTTCGGATTGCATCGTCAGATTTTCTGGTGTTTGATTCGTCATGGGTGTGTCATTTTCTCAATTTAGATAACATAAAATTCCGGGATTGGTAAGATTTAATTTTATGATTTTTTTTGAAAGCCTATGAATTCACAGAGGCGGAGAAACCGAGTTTTCCTGGGTGCTTGCACCAGGCTAGAGATCATTCTGAATTCTGATTTCTTTAGCGAAAAGTAAGAGGAGAAGCAGAAAGTGTGGGGCTTGACCCTTCGGGTCTTGCTCCCGCGAACCACTTGTAACAAGCGGGCTGCGGTGATGTTGTAGCTTTGCGTAGTGATGCGTAGTTTGATTTGAGTGAATTTTGAGCAGCCGCGATGTGAAAGAAAAAGAAAGATCATGGGGAGCTTTGCTCTGCTGCGGGCTTCCTGTGCAAGAGAGACTGGGTACCGTTTTCTTTTCTGCGAGATATTTAAAAGTTTTGTGCGAGATGCAAGGAACATTTTTACTGAGAGCTGATTGAGACATATAGAGAAAAATCTACCAAGAAAATTTAGCACAGGTTTTCTCTCTTCACCTGAATCGCCGGTTAATCTCCAAGAGCCTTTTTCCGAAACATTCAGCATAAATGTTGCCTCGACACTTCGATGATGCACGTGATTGTGCTAAAAAACTGGTGTATATTCAGCTACCTGTTATTGAATTGAAATTAAGAGCCTTCTGAATTGGACTATTGGTTCCCACCCAGATAAAAGATCAGGATTGGGATAGATAAAAGATCCTTCTAAATTGGACTATTTAGACGCTTCCCAAACGGTAATGTCACAGTAAAGAAAAATTTGCTTGGCTCATTTCCATGTGGATTGGACACTAAGGATCCGGCCAATCAGGAAAAACTGTTTTAAATCTGTGAGTGAAATTTTTAAGTATATTTTCTCTCTCTCTCTTTCTTAGTATTCCCGAATGCAGAATAGTTAATAATGATTTATCTACCAGTATATTGTTATTACTTATATAAATTAAATATTACAGTTAAAAAAAAACTGAGAAGTTATTTATAATTTCAAGTGAATGCCAGTTTTAGGAGGATTAAAATTTGTTTCACCTACTGAATTTTGTGAGCTAGAAAAGCATTACTTTCTAATTAATAAGAACCTGTTATTTGGAGGATTAAATTTTGTTACACCTAATTTATTCGAAAAAAAACAATGTTAATCTTAATTAATGTAAGCTGTAATTTGGTGTAGTATTCTGGTGTTATGGTCAATTGTAGGATACCTTTTGGTAGTAGGAAATTAGAAGGTAAAATTCAAATTCAAAAAAACACAACATTTATTTCCTCCTATGATCGGGAAAAAAATTTTTTGCGAAGCCAAAAAAATTTAGGACCCACAGACAATAGAAAAGGTTTACATAAGTTACTAAATACGAAGAGAAAAAAAAATCAAGAGTACATAATGGTACCACATGTTAATCACAAAGAAGGATACATATACCTATTTACAATTAATCCTACCATGAGTCATGGTTAGCAAATATAAATCCTACCAAATCAATGGTTAGCAAATCCAAAGTCCTACCATAATTGGTTAGCAAAATCATAGTCCTACCATAATTGTATGGTTAGCAAATCCAAATGCTACCATAATTGTATGGTTAGCAAATCCAAATCCTACCATAATTGGTTAGCAAAATCAAAGTCCTACCATAATTGTATGGTTAGCAAAGATCCATTAGTGAACCGAGTGAGAAGGTCAAGAAGTGTCCCTGGCACTCAACAAGCATACATCAAAACAAAATAAAAGTGTTGTCAAACAACACGTGACACGCCCTAAAATAAAATGTGAAAAGTAAAATGTAAAATCACGAAACCCCCCAAAGGCAAATCAAGTGAAAAGTGTGTAAAAAACAAAATATATGTAAATAAACAAAAACACCACTGAGTATACGAGTGTTTAAAGCAAAACAATTCAAGAGCTACTGGCGCTTGACACAAAATGTAAACAAACTAGTTCTTGCAATCACCCATTGAAGTGACAATATCAACTCAAAAGTACGCTTAAGGAAAAGTGTACCGTATAAATCCTAAGTTTCCCTAACACACAGAATTTCACTTCCCTAAGAACTGACACCCCACCAATACGAGAGGGCAAACGAGTAAACACCGCGACTGTACAGCGCAGACTAAACTACTAATAAATCCTTGGCATAAGAAAACTAAAACGAGTTGCACTAAGAAGAACAGAAGACAATCACCACGAAGTGTTGGCTGGAAAACTATCTAGTCAAAAATTCTAACCGAAACAAATCCCGACTACCATGGCTAAGGGATTTCAAGAGAGAGAAAAAAAAATTTTTGAACTTAAGAAAAGGAGAAAAGCGGGGACCAGCCCAGCAAAACCTCCAAAAAAAAAACAAACCCGGGCTATTGAGACTAGAAAGTTCCAAGCCAAGACAACTTGATCACAACCTCACATGCCAAAACATGTAAAATCCAAATGCAACACTCGACCAATGATAAGCCAAGAAGACTACACAACTATACTAATTGATTATAAAATTTAGCTACAAGAATACAATTACCAGAAACAAATAATAATTTAACCAAAATTGTATACAAAACACACTATTTCTCAAAATATTTCATTTCACTTTTTCGACACAAAACCATGTGTATCTCTAGGCCTTAGATGGTAAGGTGAATCGTGTGACGAGTTCTTTACATTATCTGTCAAAATTGAGTCATCCTTTTGAAGTGTGGGAAAAATAATTCTCTCTGGTACCTTCGTGAGTCTGTCCACGTGTATCGTCTGAATCCGATCAGGATTTGTAATTGAAGAGATTTTATAGTTGACTTTAGTCACTTTCTCAATAACCCTGAAAGGTCCCTGATTCAATTTAGAGAGTTTTCTAGCCATACCTGGCTGAACTACTGGAGTGTATAAATACACCAAATCTCCCACTTTTATGTCCTTATCATGAGAATTCTTTCCACGTAAATTTTCTTGCTTATCAGCAGCCTCTGTTAAATTCTGATTGACTAATTTAAAAGCCTTTTGTAATCTCAAAACCAAATCTTTAGAATAATTGTTTGTGTCATCATAAGTTCTAAAATTGGTTTGCAATAATAAATCAATTGGTAAGCACAAATCCCTGCCATATAAAATAAAAGCTGGACATTCCTGAAGTGCACTATGACGACCAGTTCTGTGTGCCAATAAGGCAAAAGGCAGATGTCTATCCCAATCCTCCTGAGTTTGAGAAACTAAGTGGCTAAGTGAATTAATTAAAGTGGCATTTAATCTTTCTACTACACCATCAGACTGTGGATGATAACTCGTAGTAGTATGTTTAGTAATCCCCAATTTCTTATAAACTTCCATTATAGCTTGAGAAATAAAATTAGTACCTTTATCTGTAACAATGTGTTGAGGTATACCATGAGTTGAAATAAATTGTTCTAATTTCTCAATTATGGATATGGATGTAGTGTCCTGCAAAGGATAAGCTTCAGGCCATCGTGAAAAATAGTCAGTTACGACCAAAATATATCTGTTGCCTGCCGTAGTAACTGGAAGGGGACCCACTATATCCATCGCAATTCGCTCAATGGGACGGGTAGCCATAGGCATTCTCATAAGGGCCCACCAGCGGCCGAGCGGTAAAGTCGCTGAACACTAGTAGTTCGGTCCGAGGTTCGAGGTCTATGACCCCTCCTCTCCCTCCTCTTAGGATACCCTCGAGGAGGAGCCTGACAGGTCTATGACCCCTCCTCTGGATACAGGAGTGACAGGACTTAATGTAATTGTGCACCTGTTTATGCATTTTGAACCCTATGAAGTGTTCTGTGATAGCCTGCGTGTGCAGCAGTAGGAGAATCATGATGCTCCTGCAAAATTCTTAATACTAGTGTTTTAGGAACAACTAGTCTATCTTGTTTCTGCCAACGTGACTTGGGTTTCTTGTATTTGCAATACAAAACATCTTCCTTTACAAAAAATATCTGAGAATTAAGTGTAGGAGACTTATTATTCTTAAGATCATTTACAATCTGTTGGCAAGAAGGATCAGAAGCTTGTTCTTTTTGAATAATTCCAACAATTCAGGAGTAATGGAAGTTTGAATTAACTGTGTAACTGTGTAA